AAAGAATGGGTGATGACTAGATAAAATTGTTTATCCCAAAGATAAAGAGGCTCTGAAGAGAAACTAAAGAACTATCCTAATATTAATAAGACACATGAAATTTAGTACTCAAAATTTATGAAATCTATTTTGTGTTCTGGGTAGCTGAGTTGTCATTTTAAGTGAGGTTTTATCTTCTTATATAAAAAAATAAGCACTAAGCTTGGAAAATATATATATATACAGGTAAAGATGCAGATTTACTGGCCAACCACCAAGAAAAGACATCAATAACACAGTGGACATACAAGCAAAGAGTGAGAAACTAACACCTCTATAGCTGAAATGTACACCCTTTTCTAGAAACACTGCCACATCAGCTAATGGTTTCTGAGAGACAGGTTTATCATCTGCCTTTTTCTAGGTAACTGAAGAAAGTTAAAAGAAAGACATCTAATGAATGCCATACAGTCCATTAAAGTTTTAGTTTAAGGTATTTGGCAAATTTGATTTAACAAGTTAGTGAAAATAAAATTTTAAAGTGTTATTCTATAGGCAGTCCTCGGGTTACGTCAGAGTCGACATACCTCGTTTTGTGGTTACGTTGCCATCTCCCATTTATTTATAAAAAAAAAAAAAAGAAGTCCCGTCATTTCGACGTATGTACATATGTGCTTTATGTTTTTTATTTACCACAAGTAAAGGTCAGGAATTGTAATCTTTCTTTTAAATTTTTTTACTGTTTCATTTCATTACTGCTGTGTATGTACCTCATGTGAGTGACAGAAGGTGGGTTCCTTCTGACTTACGGTGAAAATTGACGTCGTGCCATAGGAATAGATCTCTGACGTAACCCGAGGACCTACTGTATTTAAATCTAGACCATAAATTAGTGCAAAATGATTAAATTCAGGTCCAGAATTTCAATAAAAATATATAGAAATGCAAAGTAATGAATAATATACCAAGAAGCTACATAATATAATTAACAGGCTCCTACATATCCTTGGGCAGTCTATCCCAAAAAAAAATTACTGTTAACATCTACAACTTCATTAACTTGCTTCAGTGATTAACTTCCTACAGTCATTGTAAATGTTCATGACAGGACTCTTTTCCCTGGGGAGTGAGGGCCAAGCTACCACCACCAATGCTCCTATAATAAGTAAAGAAAAAAAACCTCAGATACAGAAGTTAAAATAACTTCAATTTCATCAATACTAGCATCTTAGATCAGATACAGAAAGTAGAATGAAACTGCCCTGAAAACAGATGCCTGCAGATGAACAACAAACATGGTGCTCTGCTGCAAATGTCATTTAATAATTAGAGCTACTTACAGACTTCCAAATTTAACAGTCTGAACCAAACAATGAACTAAAAAAGGAAGGTTAAATATATTATTCACATCAAACATTCCAAAGTTCACTAATATAAATGATTAATAAGGATACATATTTAATAAGTAATTTAAAATCTGCTGATGGACACAGACAGCATTTCTTAAATATTTAGTTTAATCAAAGTAGAGTGATAAAGGATAGTGCCTATTTTCTTGTCTTAGTAATCCAAATGTACTATTTGGGGGAGGGTGATCTAAAAATCAAAACAGTATGTGCTATATAGGTAAACCTTAGCAAGAGAAGGATAGTAAAAATAATTTAAAAAATTAAAACTTTCTAAAAATAATCATCTTATTGAAGGCAAAAGATTCAAACATAGCAGGCACATTGGTAAGATCAGAAAACGGAAGGTGAGATAACACTGCTATGCTGAAAAACAAAGTCATTTAAAATAAAAATCTTTAAACTAGAATCTAAATTATTTAAATTCTAAATCAAAGTATAAAAGCAAAAACATTGTTTTAAATATTAGGAAAAAAGTTTAAAACACTCAAGACAAAAACTTCTTCTTTAAAAGAACTGATTCCTGTTTGCTGAGTTTCTCACTAAATCCTCCATTAAGCAGCATTAACAACAGTTTACTAAGCTGAATAACAAAAACGTACCATTCCAAACAAGTTTACTAGCCTCCTCAAAACAACAAAAATTACTCTTCTTTTTCATGAGAAAAGATGCATACCACTTCTCTTCACAGGACTTCTGATTCTGCTACAGCCACTAATTTGTACCTGTCTAATCAATTCATGGCTTTAAGATTTGACCAAAAATAATTCTTATGATTTCAATTCTAAAATTTACCATTTTCTTCTCCTGATGTTTTTCGCTGATCTTCAGGTGAAACATGGACTAGCTGCAGAATGAGAGGTCTCCGGGTGACAATACCAGTGCCTCTGGGAAGCAGGTCCCTCCCCACTAGGCTCTCTAGCACTGAGCTCTTTCCACTGCTCTGAAAACAGAATACACAAGAGCAAAATGAGTTCCGTAACAGGTTTTTTTATAACTCAATGAGACTATATAAACACAGCAGCACACACAAAATTATTTTAAAGAAAAAAATGATTGCAAAGACTTTTAAATGAAAATTGTAACATTTTCTATTATATGATGTTTATTTCTTTAAAATAAAAAATACAAAAAGAATAAAGTCTCACTCCCCCATAATTTTCCTACCTTTCTGACAGACTCCCAAATATTGGTATAAATAAAATTATGTCCATAATATGTAGATATTTTACTTTAAAAGGGGTAGTACTATATGTATTTTTATCTAACCTGCTTATATTTTAATATAATAATCAGGGATATCATTTTGTATCAATATATTAACTACTGTGTTTAACAGTTAAATATATTCTACTTATATAAAACCAAACCCCAACTGATGGACATTTAAATGGTTTTTGCTACTACTAACCATGCTGCAAAGTATATGCTTTGTACATATAACCTTACTCACTTCTCCTATTACCTCATTAAATTTATTTCATTTAATGAAATTGCTGTGATTAAATATCATTTTGAGCAATCACAGATATTGCCAGGCTGCACACACGATGGCAGGCACCAAGCTATATTTTCCATTAAATTTGTTACATCCTCATCAGAACTGAGCATTATCTTTGCTACTTTGATAGATGAACACTGACAGCTTATTTAAATTTGCGTTACTTCATTATTCAAGTCAAGCATCATTTTGTGAAGGGATTTCTGTATTTCTCCTTCAGTGATTTGCTTATTCAAATGCTGGCATTTTATCTGTTTTTTATTAGTTTTACAAAGCTCTTTAGCCACATAAGTATTCCAGTTTTTATTGTTTTTAATATTTCCCCCAACTTATTTTGAAAATTTCAAAGCCACAAAGAAGTTGCAAGATAAAAAGCAGTGAATACCATATACCTTAACAAAGATGCACTAATTATGAACATTTTGACACACTTACTTTGTCTCTTCTTATTTGCAAACACATACATTTTTCTTTTGCTGTCCCCTTTGACAGTTACATATATCATGACACTTTATCCCTAAATATTGAAGCATATCTCTTAAGAACAAGGGCATTCTTCTATATAACCACAATTGAATGATTACACTCAGAAAACAACATAGATGCAACACATCAGGTCCTTGAATAATGTAGTTTCGTTAAACAGCATTTCATTATAACATTGATGAGATAACACAGGAACTTACTCTTGTTTATATCAATTAGCCTATGGTAAAGTTGGTTTCATTATGTCATTTTCTTAACATCGAAGAACCTATAAAGGACATTGAGAACTTACTGTTCTAATAAACCAGTGGTTCTCAATCTTCCTAAGACCGCGACCCTTTAATATAGTTCCTCATGTTGTGGTGACCCCCAATTTCATTGTTACAAATTGAACATAATTAAAGCATAGTGATTAAGAACAAAAACAATATGTAATTATATGTGTGTTTTCCGATGGTCTTAGGTAACCCCTGTGAAAGGGTTGTTCGACCCGCAAAGGGGTCGCAACCCATAGGTTGAGAACCGCTGTAAACGGCAGAAAATCAAACACTACATAAACCCTGTGTATTATACATTTAAACGTTAATGTTTTCTGTTTTTCTTAACTTTGCAATTAATGTTTTTCTGTACTGTATATTTTCTTAGTAGCCAAAAGTAGTATATCTTTTAATTTCATACTTTCTACAAACGCAAGATCCTAAAGTTATCTACTGTATCAGAAAGGGTCTACGGAAAGCAGATGGCGCACTTAAGTCACTTAGGGAGGGATATTTACAAGCGGACTATTTACAAAGCTGTCAATAAGGCTTAGGAGATCACGAAGTACAAAACCCAGGCTGGTAACAAAGGCAGCCCCCTTGGACGGAAAGGACTTTCAGAAGAGGGAGAGCCAGACTATGGAACCTACACACAGGAATGAGCCAGGGGAATAAATACCCAAACTTTAGTCTCTTTCTTTCTCCAATTCTTGCCAGGGCTCTCCATTTCCAAATCCAAGCGGAAGCCAGAGGACATAGGGGCCCGTTCATGTTGTCCAGAAAAGTCTCACATGAGAGAAAACAGGACATAGAGGTCCAATATTGAAGATTATGTAGCATAACTAATATTGCTACGTTTTGGTACCCAGGTTTACCCCTCTCATTAAGTAAAATGGTGCTTTCCATCACTTTTTTTCTGTACTCTGAAATAACTTAAACAACATGGAAATGTCCTGTTCTTTATGTTTGATAAACCTGTACATAAAAATCATCTAATTCTCCTGGACTTTTAAAGTTATGGACTTAACTGCTTAGAAATGGTTAGAAATTATTCATTTTTCTTATTTCTAATATTTTGTCTTTATGTTTGTTTTTTCTCCAACCAAATTTTTCAAATGACCATTAAACTGATTTAGTCAAATCTGTATTTTACTGATTTCACTTTGTAATTTTTTTATGGCTTAGGTGCATTTTATTCGGTTTTTTTATTTTGTAAATTTTTAATACTGTTAATTTCCTCCTCCCCTTCCCCTCTCCTCCCTTCCTCCCCCCTTTACCTCCTCCTCCTCCTTCTTCTGGGGTAGATATATTATTTATCTATTATCCTTTTATAAAATTGCAGGAGTTAAATGTTTAGCTTATTTCTCTATCTGAGCTACCAACACTTGCCCCACCCACCATATATCACACATCCCCCAATCTGAGTTGTCTCTATCCTCTGTCTTCTATTCTGATATGGTGATTCTCAAGGACACAGTTTATGACAGAATTAGAATGACACAATTACTCATTTGCTTTTTATTTCACATTACACAGTCTCCAAATAATACCAATATTATCACTGCCAATATGATTACTGAAAATAGTTTTTTAACTGTTTTGAATATGATCTCTCCATTTTCCTTCCCACCTCTTTACAAACCATACCTTTTTTTTTTAACCCTAATTTCATCTTGGTTGTCTAACTATATGTGCAATTCTAACAATCAGTCCTTATGTTAATGTCTCTCTAAGTTATTTTGATTCCCTGAACCTTGTTCTCTAGTAGGTTTCTCAGGAAAGGATGATGGAAACAAAAGTTTTACCATACTAATAACAGTTTGTGATTTTTACACTTAAAATTCAGTTTGGATATATGTAAAATCTTGGGCTCATGTTTCTTGAGTATCTTAAATATGGAATTCCATATTAAATTAGGTCCTCTCATAAATTCTCTCATAATATGTCTTCTCTCATAAACTGTTACTGTATAAAAGTATAATAATCTGATTTTCCTTCCCTAATGCCTAAATGTGTGTGACTTATGCCTAAATGTCTGATTTTTATTTTTCCTTTAATGTCTAATAATTTTACTAGACTGTGTTTGTGCTGGTCTTTATCTCACAAAGAATACTTTTTAAAGTTCTCTCCTGAATTCTGCATTGACTGCATTTTGTTATTCCGATTATCTCCTCCTTTATGGCTACTGATTTTCAGTTGTACATTTTTCTGTATCTACATACTGGATTTTTTAATGATGGGTTGTTATGGACTGAATTATATTACTCCAGACTTCATATACTAAAGCCCTATCAACCCTCTCCCCTCAGAATGTGTAGCTCAAAATGTTTTTAAAGACAGGGCCTTTAAAGAGGTGATTAGGTTAAAAAAATGCCATTATGATAGGTCCTAATCCAATCTGACAGATGTCCTTACCAAAGAGGAAATTTGGACAAACATAGGACACAGCAAGAAGGTGGCCATTTGCAAGCAAAAGAGAGAGGCCTCAGAAGAAACTGGACCTGCCAACACCTTGATGTTGAACTTCTAGCCTTCAAAACGGTAAGAAAATAAATTTCTGTTACTTAAGCTACCCAGTTTGTGTGGTATTTTTTTATGGCAGCCCTGACAAATGAACACAGGGTTTACAAACTCAATTACCCACACAAGCAATTTTTAAACATTAGCAAGTAATACATTTTATAAAATATCTATCCTATCTAATAAAAGAGAAACATGGTAATTGGCGTACGACCGCTACCCTTCCCATTGGCTAATCAGGGAGATATGCAAATTAACTGCCAGCCAAGATGGCCGCTGGCAGCCAGGCAGCTTGAAATTAACAATGAGGCTTGCTTGCTTCAGTGACGGAGGAAACCAAATTTCCCCGCCTGCCTTGCAGGCCTCTGAGCCTGCAGTTTGAAACATTTTAACAAATATGGAAGCGAAAAAAAAACCCAGAAACCAGCTTCCAGCCACCTGGGATCTCAGAGCTGGAATCAGAGCTGAAGTTGATACAGAGTTTCGACCATAACACCGAAACAAACCAGATACCTGCTTTCAGAAGCAGAAGCCTCAGAGCTGGAGCCAGGCTAAAGCTGGCCCAGAATAAAAAAGAAAAAAGAAAAAAAGGAGCAGTTGGGAGTTTCAGTCACCCGCCAGCCTGAAAACGGCCCTCAGCCCCTCACCCAGACTGTCCAGGCACCCCAGTGGGGACCCTCACCCTGAAGGGTGTGAGAGGCA